TGTCGTATATTTCAGACAAGTGACTGTCCAGTCTCTTCTTTAAAAATCTCCAGGGATGAAGCACTCACAACTTCTGCAGGCAAGCTATTCCACGGTTCAATATAAGTAAAGGGTCTCCCTTCCCAAAATCGTAGTAGGTGGGGAATGTAAAGAATCTTAAAGATCTTCTAATCCAACTCCCTAACACAGGAAATATGTTTTGTTTCAGTTCTTTCAGTACCATATTTCCCTCCCTCACACTTTCACTTTGGTTATCATTTGCTGCAGATGTGCAAAGCAGTTCCAGGATATTTTACAAAAAAAATGCTGGCACAACCAAAGCATTTTTCTTCAAAGCCCAGAGGAAGTCGTTCTGGAAGGATACTCAGCCTATTGCACTGGCAGCCCCAACATAAATGTCACCCAAATACCCCCATGCACATGGAGACCACTTGAGAAAACCAAATCATGGTAAAGGAAGTTGAAATGACATTATTTGAAATAATGTCTGCTTGCTTAAGTTACAATTTTCTACTCATCTATTTAGAATTTGACAAATAAACACAGGAATCCTAAGGAGGCTTTGCAGGCATAATTTGACCGAGCAAAACAGACAGTGAAACAAATGTATCTATACTTCAAAATGCAACTGAATTTTGGAGACAATCAAGCCAAGTGAGAGAAGACATGAAGCAAAAGGAGGTGAATAGCTTTACTATTTAAAAGCTTACACCATGGATTATCGTAGACCAAAATTAAATAGAATATCCCACTGAATTACTTTTTACGAAGAAACCTGCACTAAATATTTCACTTGATTCTTTAAATTTAAAATTTCACAAGAATTGCTTTTCAAGATTAATGTTTTAAATACACTAACACAACATATATTCAATTTTTTTTGGCAAATCCATAACTGTATTGAAAATGAATGCATATATAACATATTTCAAGTGTACCAAATGGATGCAAAGTTCCAAAGAGGCACTACTACATCTGCTTTTTTCATTGAAGCAAACTCTGCAATAAGTTTCATATTTCAACAAAAGTAAATCATGAGCAACTTTTCTTACTTAACTTTAGTAAATAAAAATTTCCCTTTTGACATTCTTGGAAAAAGTAAAATCAGGATTTTGTATTTCATCAATTTGTAAAACGAACAAACAGAAATATGTGAATCAACAAATATATCAGATATATATTAAACAATAGATTATAGAATGCAACATGTACAATAGAATGTAACCTGGCAAGATATATGGGAGTCCCAGTACTCTCTTCATACTGTTGCATAAGGGTATAATTCATACTATTGTTACCACCTCCCTCATTCTGCCACCTCGTTTTATTTTTGCTAATCAAGAATTTTTTTAGTCACACATTTTTGTATTTTAGGAG